GGGTCCCCTTCCCAGGTTTGAAAGTTGAGACGTGGACATAACTTTTGGGGTTGCCACTAAACACGCACACCCAGGGTGGGGGGGAACAGTCACTTACATAAGAACAAAAGTTTCGCTTTTCAGGCCCACACTCGGCTTGTGAGCACGTTCACCTGATTTTCAGGTGACGGCCCCACCGGCCAACATCTGCAAATGCCTGGTCGCTTCATCCTTTAAATAAGGCTGGTTCAAGCCCTGCATTGCACTCTGTGCTGACAGCTCGGAGCCTGGAGCCTGCTTCGGATTCTGTGTCTCACTCTCTGATTCTCCCCCACATGCACTCTCTGTCTCTAAAAATAAAAACACATTTAAAAAAATTTAAAAATTGAGGGGAAACTCACATAATGTAAAGATAACTACTTCAAACTGTACATCTCAGGAGCATTTAACACTCTCCCAAAGTTGTGCAACCCCCAGCTCCGTCTGGTTCCAGAACATTCTCAGCCCCTCCAAAAGGACACGCTGTCCCCTTAGGCATCAATGGCCAGCGCCCTCCCCAGCAGCTGAGGGCCATTAATCTTTCTGTTTGCATGGATTTGTGTATTCTGGACATTTCACATAAAATGAATCATGCACTCCGTGCCCAGACTCACCTGCCAGACTTTAAGTGTTTGTTTCTTTTGAGAGCGTGCACGCATCTGGGTGAGAGCAGACAGTGAGGAAGACAGAAGCCCAAGCAGACTCTGTGCTGACAGCACAGAGCCCAGTGCAGGCCCTGAACTCACAGACCACGAGATCACGACCCGAGCCAAAGTCGGACGTTTAAGCGACTGAGCCACCCAGGCGCCCCTCAACCCTGCAGCTTTAAAGTTCTCCGTGTTGTCTCTACAATTCTGATTGCAAAGCAGCCCATTCTTGCCTGAACTGGTTGGTGTCTTTTGGGTTGTAATTTATCAAATGCAGACATTCTGATCCTTTCCCCATATTTGTCTCTTTCTCTCCTCACACTTGCACATTCTACCATGTAATTGTGCACTGAGTTGCCTAATTATATAAATTGCCGCTCCCACCCCATTAGACTAGGAAACCTTTGAGATCATGAACTTTTATTTATCTGTGTCCTCGGGCTCGTACCGTACTCTCAGAAACCCAGTAGGAGGCAGTTTAATCATGCTGCGTTCCAGCAAAATAAATACACTGTAAGTAAATTGAAACAGAAATAACTTGGGTGCCTGGGTGGCTCAGTCGGTTGAGCGTCCGACTGGCTCAGGTCACGATCTTACACACATGAGTTCCAGCCCCACATCGGACTCTGTGCTGACAGCTCGGAGCCTGGAGCCTGCTTCGGAGTCTGTGTCTCCCTCTCTCTCTCTCTGCCCCTCCCCTGCTTGCACTCTCTCCCTCTCTCTCTCTCAAAAATAAACATTAAAAAAATTAAACATAACTAAAAAATAAAACTGGGCTCTTGAATCAGGAAAATAGACAGACGTCTGAAAAAAAAAAAACAAAAAACGCACACGTGCATAACCTCTGTAAAACTCTTTCCTGTGGATGAAAGGGCAAATCTGAACAACCTCCAGTCTTTTTTTAAGCATTTATGATTTTTCCATTCTCTTTAGTTTGTTTAGAGCTGCCATAAATTCATTTCATTTTTGTTGTTTTGCTCAACATTTTTATTTGTCTCTGAAATCTTTTTAAAGATTTTTATCTTTAAGCAATCTCTCCACGCACGTGGGGCTGGAACTCACAACCCCGAGATCAAAAGTTGCTTGTTCCTCTGGCTGAGCCAGCCTGGCGGCCCCTTCTTTGGAAGCTTATTAAAATAGGAGCTAACAAACTAAAATTACTTTTCAATTACCAGGTCCATAGGGCATTTTACCTAAAATCCCATTGCTTAGGTTGGAAAGTGTTAATGGATGTTCTCTCTGCTTTTTGTCCTGGGGGCAGTGACACCAGTAGAACAAAATGCAATGACCCTAAACAGCCTTTGCTGCAAAAACTTCCCAAGGCCACTTCATCCATGGTTCTGCCTCTGGAAACCTATCACGGGAGAACTACCCTGCTTTGAATCAAGGGAGAGGCAGTGATGCTGGGTCCTGGGCTGTCTGAGTCCCACAAGGAAGGGGGTGCAGGGAAGACGGGCTGGCTCCCAAGAAGGAAACGATCCAGCGACGACAATGCAACATCATGGAAGGTGCCCGTCAGCTCTCCCCACCGTTGCTGAGTGTTCAAGGCTCGACACAGGAAAAGACCAGACCCCTACCCTTCCAAACTGTACGAAAGGACGTCTCATTGAGCAAGAGACAAAACCAAATGTTGGAAAGGAAATCCGTGAGGAGCAAAGTGCAGCAAAAAAAACTGAGGAAGAGAGAAGCAGAATTCATAAATAGTATGCAGATGGGCCAATCCGAAGACACTCTGACACAAGTTCAAATGGCTCCTCGTTAGCTTTTGACAGGAAGTCTCTCGAAATCAAACACATGCACATTGACGGCTATCCTGGGGTTCGTTTTAAGGATAGAAACAAAGCTTGTTCAAGAGAAGAAAAAGCAACTCGTTTTGGAGGAACACACTTGGCAGAACTAGACTCGATCGCCCTGTGCAGCTGCACAAAGCGGGCGTCTTTGCAGCTTAGGGTCAGCCGGGGACCTGGGAGATGCAACCTCGCGGGCGCTGTCTTTGGGGCGTCTTTCCTTCCCAAGTCCAAGTGCGCCATCGGCCTCCTCGGCTCCGCAGGCACGCACGTTGTTATTTTGTTAGTCATGTTACTCAGTGATGGGAGGCAGGAGAGTCTGCCTGTCGGAGGCTGAGGACGTGCAGACCAGCTGCTTCGAGGGGCCAGGTGGGCTGTCCACAGAGGGAACTGCACTCAGGTGGATGAACGAAGGTGCCTGCGAACCATGCAAGCACCCTCCTCTCCAACCTCCCCCTGGATAATACCCCAGGGAAGTTGACCCAGCTGTTCCTTGCCCCCCACCCCCAGAATGCAGAATCTTCTGGAATCTACCTCTCCACTGGCACGCTCCCCACCCCCACCTGTCTCTCCTGGGAGCCTCTTGACACCCCCTGGAAGTCAGGCAGGACCGGGGG